AAAGATATTTAATATTTAACAAAATTTTGTAAATACGACAAAATAGTGAATTCAATATTATTTAGTTCGAGGGAGCACTAGTTTAAATTACTTAAATTCTATAAATGAACAATTCGCATAAAAAGATAACACAAATAAAAGTTAAATATTTTTTAAAAGTAATATTCGATCACAAAATATGAATTATGAACACGGAAGTGAAAGATGAAGGTACCGAAAAGGGTGGTAGTAAAGGTATTAGATTGAAGGTTGGAGGTCGGTTAAGGATCGGGGGTGCATGGAGGTGGGGTGGCACGCGCGCGGACCAACGGATCAATTCGCGCTTGGAAGCTACGGGGAAAAGCAACAGTGTGTCTACCCCCTGCTTCCCGGAAAAGTACTTGGCACGATTTGAACACTTCTATTTATTCTCAATACGAGGATGACAATAAACGGCATATCGAGTCAACGTGTAGGTAAACTAGAATTTGTTCGTTGATAGAACATTTTCATCAAGAGTGTTGTTAAAATCCGAACGATTTGTATAATCAGCGCATGTACTATCTTTTTTTTTTTTATTTTTGGTGAGACCTAACATGTTACAATTTAATAAAATGTAACGAAGAAATTTTCTGAATCAACCGAGGTGATAAGAATGGAAAGATAATCTTATTTTTATGTATTCTCAATTAACGTATGATTGATTTAATAAGACATCCTTGCATTCGAATTGTGACATCCAACAGACGACCTTGGATTATCCGTGACCGACATTAACGTAACAGGATAAAATACCATTTTCAATTTGTCTGGTTCTTTTCGATAAAATAACACAAAGAAGGAAACTTTTTTGATTCTCATGTTCGTTCATTTGCAAAATTGGAAATAAAGATACTTACCGTAGAATAATTTGACCTGATTTTCATTGAATATGTCTTTATACGTTACTATAACATAAGAGCGGGAGGCTGCTGTAATTGTCGCGAGCGGATCCTATTTGTTCCCTCTGCAGTCAATAGGCACGAGGACATTTGGATATCGGTTTTCTCATATCTCGATGCAGTTCACGAAGTGCGACATTCCTTGTTGCATGCAAGTATCGTCTTTTTCGTGTAGCAGTAAACCATCTTATAATTTTTTCTTGCTTTTTGTACAATTTATTTTGTAACATACAATTTGGATTTTTATTACCTAAAATAATCATTAAATGTATTACAATAATAATTGATATTGTTCTATCTTTTATTTAGTTATAAGTGATAAAAAAATATGTTTTTAATGTAATTATAGATGAGTGTCCAAACAGTGGAGAGGATAGTGAAGAAGATATAATAACTGATTACTTGGGATCATCACATTCTGATTGCGATCGTATACCTATTATTAATGGAGACCTTGGCAGTTTAAATCTGCGTGGAAATATAATTACTGAGACCAGCTACACCAAAGACAATACAGAGAAAACGGCTATCACAATGTCTGAAGGAACTGATGAACAGCAACAGCAGCATTCATTGCTTACACTTGGCACTAATGGTCAAACTCAGCCTAATCCTTTGGTGCCAATTATTAGTGTCACTCCTCATTCACCTGGTCTTGCTAAAAACTATCCTGTTCTGGGTAAATTGTTTGATTTTTTATTTGTGTAACATTATGCATTACATTTCATGTAACTCAGTTCCACTGGACATTATAAAATTTTATGTGCTTCTGTGGCTAACAATTTGTTCACCTCCTTGCAGAGGACAACTTGCAACATCTGCATGAAATCCATGATTGTATTCAGCGTATGAGAGATTTGACGCTGAGCAACTGGGGATATAATCATCGCACATCCCACAATGATGTACCACAACGGTTAACTTCATCATGTCCTTCCTTATGTCCTTTAATTTCACCTGAAATTGCACCACGCTCAAATAATAATGATACAGGGTCTGATCCAGATCTCCTTGCTAACTGTTCCACCAATAGCTCCCCTACACATTTTCCATCAGTAGGTCCTCGTTCACAGAATGCACAGGGTATAGACAGAAGACGCAGCTGGACTGACTTGGAAGACACTCGATGTGGGCGTCGCAGATATTCTGGGCAAAATCATCTGCAAGCACAAAATATGGTTAATATTGTCTGATACGTTTTTAAAGAAATGCATTCATTGTATATTTGTGGCATGGATATGATTGCTTCATTGCTTCTTTCATTTAGCTTTGTTGAAGTTTTTACTATTCATTTTCCATTATAATATTCAACATTTATTCATTACAATTTCAGCGACAACGCAGTATTAGTTTAAGTAGCCTAGACAGTGAAATGGAAATAGAATTACATGGAAAATCTTGTGATCGACCTGTAGGGGTTGGCAGTCGAGCATGCAGATCACAAGCAAGTACTCATTCTCTTAATGAAGCTGATCTTGTGCAGGTAATTTAAAGGATGTTTACATTGACAAATTCTTCAAATATTTTGTTTTAATTGAAATACACTGAAAATTTTTATTTGACAGAGTGAATATCAGAAGATAATCACAAAACGATTCAAAGGTAGTCAAAGATTAGCAGAAAGTAGTGGTTTAATGCCTGGTCTCACAGGCTCTCGTTTACCTCTTCAGAAATCAATTTCAACGCCTTCAATTGTTACACCTCAAGTTAATGTTCATTTAGCAGAGGCTGTACCTAGGACAACGCCATCACTTACAACGTAAGTTAATTAAAAATAGTTTTAGATTGTAGAACTAGATCAATACACAATAAAATACTAATGTAGTCTTTGCTTTTTCAACTTTTTTCTATATTAATTCTTACAATTTTTATATTGCATTTTAATGCTTTTATTTAGTGAATGATGGAATCAAATCAGTTTTTTATTAATGCATTAAGTATAGATTGTGCATTTTGAAGTATTATTTGGATTATTTAATAATTTTAGTTTTGTTTTCAATTTTATATAAATTTTACTAATTTTTAACATTTAAAAAGTTACAAATTTTAAATGAATACCAGCCCATAATCTTCAAAATAGTCGAGTTTGCAATTTTCATGTTATATCAGAAGTAGTATTAAAGGCTAATACACACTATTTATACATGTCATTTAAATAACTTTTTAAATTAATAGTGAATACTTAATGCATGGTTTATTAATATATTTATGGAAAGTTTTGAAATTTGCCTACATTTAACAATGCTTGTATCAACTTGTATCATGTAGGTAAAATTATTTTAGCATGGTTGCACCACTTATGCCTATTTAAATAATTAAAAATTTTTTAAATTTAAAGAGCACTTACATATAAGTTAAAATATTATTTCATGCTCACAGCATCTGAATTATAATGTTGTTAAAAAAATATAAATTTTTAAATCTTAATTGAATCAAATTTGAACTTTCTTATTTATCTAAATGGTCTTCTGTGTATTTTGGTTAACTTTACGTCTTTATGGTATTTATATCTCGGTGGTAGACCACGCGAGAATATCTGATTTGCATTTTTACACAATAGTCGCATACTTTGTGTTTGTACTTGATAATTTCCTACCATCCTGCATGGTACAGCCGACGTGAAAGAAACGAAAAGGGTAGTGGGAGTGAGACTGAAACTGAGGATCTTCATACACCACACAGCCATGAATTCCATGAAGACAGAGAAGGCACTTCAAATGCTCAGATATCTCTAGATGAATTACTGACTGAGTGAGTACTCTATAATTTCAGTTTTTTATATATATATACAATATGTATATATGTACATATGCTAACAAGGCACAAGGAAAAAATGACTGGTTTGTATAAGCTTTGTTATTACTTATTTTCTTATTTTGTAGTTATGTGATAATGATATTATAATACAATTTAGATTTTCCTATATGTATTTTAATTCATGAAATGCTCATTGATGTATGTACTTAGTCATTTGTTATAATTGATATATAAATGAATTATTTAGTGTAAATACACCATAGTAGTACTTGTAAATATTTACTGCTGATCATTTTTCATTCAGAAAAAACTAGAAGAAAACGGGGTTCTATTTTCTTCCGTAAAAAAAAGGTAGTAGAATAATTGCATCATAAGGAGCTTATATTTATATTATATGTAACAAATAATTTCAAAAATTGTAATGGAATTACAGGATAAGAGTGGTAAAAAAACTAGTCAGCAACATTTATGGACGACAATAATGGCAGGATCTCAGGGAAGTTTGTTATGTGATGCTTGTATGAAACAGTCAACAAACAAGCCCCTTCTACATTGTGACAGTAAGCATTTATTATTATATGTATTACATTTATGTAAGCTTTATAAACTCATTGAAAATATGACACTTTTATTGTAACAGACTGTGGAGTATATGTACATCAAAGTCAAGGTTGTAAGGATCAACTAGTACTAGAATGTATCAAGTCAAAACATCATTCTAGTAAAGTTACCACCAAACCTATATCAAGCATGTCCACAACTTCGAGTAGCTACAATGTTAAGAGAGGATCTACCGCATCATTACCTCTACCAACATCGTCTGGAAGTGGGAGGTAAATAACTTTCGTTATTAAAATTATAGACTTCCTGCATTGGATCTGCGTATCTGTGGTTCAAGATTCGCACGCAATTGGCATGGCTAGGCCTAAACTCGGAGTTCATTACAAACTCCTTCTATTTGCAACACAAGTATTCTATAAGTTAGAAAATGCGTACGCATATTTGCGCTCAGCAAGGAATTTCAATTTTTTTTTACTTTTCTTTGCTTACTAGATCTTTATAAAAATGTATCATTTAATAGAACTGACTTAACTTAATTAATTGTATACAAAATACAGTATAATTAATTATTTAAAAAAGAAGATTCAATATGTCAATGTTAACATTTACAAATTTAAATAGTTTATTACATTTCACGTTTTACTCTGACAGATCTTATTGAATTCCTATACATGGTATCAAAAATGAATAGTTAGAGGAGATATTGTATCTGCTTATTATTCAGAAGCTTTGGCTGGCTCAAAAGCTTATTATTTCTAATTAATTTTGCAATTTAGCCGATAGTATGGCAAGCTTCAGCGTGTTTATCCTCGCGTCTCTAACATTAACTAATAAAACATTTGCATATATATGTTAATTAACATATAAAATACTACGCCTAAACTTCTTCAATCAGTAAAACAATGTTTTCATCAAATTAACATAAGTTATAACTATGATGCTAATTAAAAATGGTAATTATTTTGAATGAATTAATGAATAGTACATACACATGGATATACATGAATTTTAACACTGCATATTTTGCATATTCTATACATATATTACGATAAAATCTGTAGCGTGTCTGCAAAGATAATGTTTATGTATAGCGAGGTATGCATTATCAATTGATATATAAAAACTGAAAAACGTAATAGAGTAAGAAAACTGAAGAAGGAAGGGAAACAAAAGGCAAAATGAAGTTGCCCTAATGCAGTGTGTGCTTTTTCCTTCCCCCGTGCATTCCCTCTCGTGCAACGACAAACCGATCGATTGTTCGACGATTAAAGGGAAATTAACAGCAAGAAAGCCGTGACAAGCTACAGCCCTTGGCGGCGAGTTGCTACTAAGCTCGGAGTCAAGTAAGTCTCAGATGTCTGATGTGCTCCTCCTATTCTATCGAAGCGTTCGTACGTTTCTGTTCGTGTATTAATCCTACACAGTAGTAGGATGGCCCGCGTCTATCGTTCCTTAATTCTTTTCTCGCACACATTGTTTAAAAGGCAATTGAATTGCCTCTTTGTGTTGTATTGACAGAGACATCACCTTGTCCCTGCCTATGCTTCTGATATGCTTGCTTCTATTATTTATGTTTATTCAATAATATATTTTGTGTATACACCTCGTTGTAACTTCATCCAAGAATTATAATATAAACTTACAATTATCGAATGACCAAGCAGTCTCTTCATCAAGCATTGTCAGGAATGAACATCACATATAGTACTCTCGTGTTTTTGATTGGTATGAATGTATTTCTCTTTGACTTTTTCTTTATGGTATAAATTCGTAGCTTTGTTTACAATCTCTTCCATGTTATTAAATGTATTTTCAAATCCACGTTCAACATTGTCCGCTTATGTAATGTATCATTTTGTGGAAACATTAATGTCAGACATTTTGGGTCGGGTTGAGATAAAATCTATTATCATGAAATCATGATCTAACAAATTATATATTTTTTAAATATATTTTATTAATGTTGAAGTAATTGAAGAGGAGGAATTAACACCTTAGGACTTCTATTTTTAGGATATCTCATACCCGACCTAAGTATAAGTATGCTTTTTAAGCCTTCTCCTTTTAATAACCTTCCTATTTATTGTGCAAGTTATCAACTTTCATTTATAGTGTAACACTATCAATAGAATCAAATATTTCAGTGAAGTTGCAAAAAACTGTTTCTTCAGTAATTAAAATTTTTCTATAGATAGTCTTAATTAATTTATTTAAGAGATAA